CCGCGCGCCCGGGCGCCGCCGCCGCCGCTCACCTGCCGCCCGCCATGGCCCGCCGGCTCGCGGCCCTGCTGCTGCTCCTGGCGCTCGGCTGCCTCCTGGGCGTCCTCCTGCTCTGCCTGGGCTCCGGCGACGCGCGCGGCCCGCCCGCATTCAAGGTGAGCAGCGCCCGCGGCGGCTCCGGGGCACCGCGGAGGGAAGGGGCGACTGGGGGTACCCCGTGGGCGTGGGGACACCGGGGCGTCGGCGAGCGGCAACACAGACCTGCCGTCCCCCAGAGCCTGGGGAGCTACTGGGATCTRGGGAACCCCCAGAGGACAGCGGGATGCCTAGGACCCCCCAGCTACTGGGATTTGGGGGCCACCAGTGCCAGGAAGGGGCTCCCCGAGCTGGGGACCCCAGAGCGAAGGCAGAAGCGGGATGATGTCCTCGGGGACCAGCCCGTGCCGGGGATGCCGCAGGAGGACGTTGCCCAGCGTCCTTGGCCAGAAAGCGAGGCAGAGCTCCATCCTGCCGCCTTGCCTCGCTCGCTTAAGGTCAGTGCCTTATTTTGCAAAGCAGCCTTCAGAAAGGAAAACTGCAGTGTCTCCTTGGGATGCAGTCTYCCTGGCTGAGGGCAGCTCTGCCAGCAGCAGCCCTGGTGGCTTTTTCTGCAGCTTGGGGACACCCTCTGTCTGTCCCAGCATTACTAAGTGTTTTCAGGCTCATGCTGCATTGCTTTAGTTAGTGTTGGAGGAAAAGCAAAGCACTTCAAACAAACAAACAAACAAACAAAGAGGGAAAAGAAAAAGTTCCAAATAATTTCTTCTGCAAAGTCCCCAAATGGACTCTTTTGCAGCTCAGGTCTTTGTTTTTAGAAAGGTCATATTTTTGGCAAACAACTAAACTATTCCAAGGGGAATGGGCCCTTGACTTGGCGAAAGATTTGTCCCAAACCCCCACTTTCTCATAAAAAGAAAAACCCAATTAGCTTGGGAACTTTTTGAGCCAGATGCATTGCCTTCTCCCAGAGTTTGTGAGATGCAATAAAGTCTAAACTTGAGAAAATGATCTGGCTTGGCCACAGTCTGGATTCACTTTCTGGTTGTCATTATCACTAGTACTTAATTCCTTCATTTGCTGCCCACGGCTGCATGTGGTGGCGCACTGGACTACGGACAGAGCTTGCGTCAAGCCTAGTGTCTCTTTGTGYATAGGGGAATTTGAATGCATCTTGGCAAAATCTACCTGTATTTGCCACACTTCATCAATTTGGGAAGCTTMATCTCTTCCTACCATTAAGTATTACCTGGAGCTTTGCTTTTAAATGAATTATATTCACCAGGAGGTATAGCATGGGTTTTTTCTGGTCTCTGGGGGAGATGCCACGGGAGGATTTCACGGTACTGGGGTCTGGGAGGCTCTGCCTTGGTTCAGCTGCCGCCCGCACGAGCAGCCCCAACCAGGTGCCCGAGGTTTTGCACCACTGTGGGACGGGGTAGGAACACAGGAGCCCGGCGGGACGAAGGCAGGGACGCTTTCTGCCCATCGGCATTCAGGACGGTTATCTCCRCGGTGCCTTTTCCTGTGGGGTTAGCAGTGAGCGGGCACAAGGGTGTTGGGCTTGGCACAGAGCTTGGAGAGATGCTAAGGTTTGTCTTTTGTCTTCTTCTGACTCAACCAAAAGGGTGCTGATGCTGTTTAGCTGAACAAGATGAAGATCTTGTTCTGTACTTGTTTGAAATCCTGGCCAGCCCAGGAGCTGRTTTGGCCCAGACCTTGCTCCTCACCCATTCCCAGGGGAGGGAAGGCCCCAGGCTCGGCACCACGTTGGAGCTCGTTATTTCCTCCCACTCCCTTTCTTGTCTGGTCTTCTCCCGCCATGCTGAGTCCCTTGGGGAGCCCACGTGGAGCTGCTCAGCCTGCAGCGATGACCAGATCTGACAGCACCTCTGGCAGGGGTGTCAGCAAGCTCAGTAACACAGGGGCAGTGGCATCCTGTGGGATTTAGGGATGGCGTCTGGAGCTGGGCCACAGCAGCCTTCAGTCCTGCCCTGGCTCCTGYGGAGAGGCCGGGTGGCCAGGCGGATGCTGGGCAGGGATGGGGAGAGCAGCCTCGAGGTGCTGGGGCACATGAAGGGCTGGGAGCAGCCCTTGCACCCACCAGAGTGCTGAGGTGAGCCAGGCGGCATCGTGGGCAGCTCCAGACACAGCCCCTAGGACGAGGTGCCCAGCCGGGCACCACCAGGCTGGGCCCTTGGCCAGTGGGGAGAGGGCAGCGGAGCCCCACGGGCATCTCGATGGGCATGCCAAGAGCGGCTGCACCAGGGAAGCCCACAGGACTAGTGGGCTGTGGGGTGCGCTTGATTTCTGCTTAGAGCCATGCATGCACTGGCAGGAGCCCCAGCTGCTGCCCCAAGCCCTCGCCCTCAGCGTTTTTAGGGATGTCGCTGCCCTCCTCATCCTCCTCCGCAGGRAGGACATTGGGCCATATGGAAGTGCTTTGCGCTGATGCAAACCATGGCGCAGGGCAAGGATTGTGCTGCTGAGCAGGGCAGAGCCCACTGGGACACGGGTTGCTAGTGGCCAGGTGACCTGTTGTGCAGCACAGCCCTGAGTGACGCTCATGGGAGCAGGGGGATCCTGTGTCCCCACGTTTCGTTCTGCTGAGCTGGGAGCTGCTGTGTGGGAACAGGGTGCTCTCCTGCTCCAGCTGGCCCTGTGCAATCACCAGGGACAGGTGGTGGRGTCCCACTGTTAGAAAAATTGTGCTCTGTGAAATGCCAGCATTTCAGGACAACGTGGGGGCCAGTACACGTGCATGTGAGGCCCTCCTCAAGCCCGGGGCTCCAACAGCCGAGTGGGACCCAGCCGATGCGGGGAGCGATGGGAGCCAGGAGCCTGCATGGGAAGCTGCCAAGATGTTACCCCGTATCTTCCAGTTCCTGCTTCCAGTATTTTTGTTGGCARGGGAAACCTCCTTGGGAACAGCTCAGCGTGGATCTTGTGCTGTAAATCACCAAGAAGAAGTGCTTCAGAGCAGCCTTTCTTCCCCTGAAAGCTTCTTGTGTGCACGAGACTGTTGCAGGGGACTCGCCAGACGCGCTGTGCTCTGGGGTGCATTGCCGTTGTTAGGTGCTCGCCACCCTGGCCTGGGGTGTGTGGGGGTGCACGTGGAGCATTCCCAGCACGTGGGGATGGCCAGGCAGGAGCATGAAGGTCATGGGGCTGCTGTCATTGCACCTTGGCTCTGCGCCGGGCACTCCCTCACCCAGCAGCACCGTGTCCAGGGCCAATCTCACTCTGCGGCAGGTTCATGTTCCTGCATGTCCATTACCTCTTCTCATCCTGCTGTCCGCTTCCTGCAGCACTTGGGCCTGGCCTGAGCCCCTGTTGTGGGTTGGCAGGTCCCTGCGTGCCATCTGTTGCCAACTAGTGCTCAGGGACTCGCAGAGATGAAGTCTGGTCTCTTACAAACCCCCGGGGACAAGATCCAGATCATTTGCATTTGCAGGGATATTTGTCATCTTGAAAGCGGCTTGTTCTGCAAACAGCCAGTCTGGGAGGTGCAGGAGCTTCCTGGTAGGAGAACCGCTCTCCAGGCTCTAGCCAGGGGCAGCAGTGCCCCAAGATGCAAGTTCTTGGTTCTGCAAGAGGACATGAGCCTTGGGGCAGCCGAGCAGACAGCGGCAGTGAAAATCTGCCAGCGTAGCGGCAGGCTGAGCACGGTGAAGGCAGGTGGGAGCCGCTCCCGGTGCAGCCAGCCCCTGTCCCCTGTGTTCCTGCAGATCTCCCGCATGGCTCGGCGCAGGAGTCACTTCTCCTGCCCCGTCACCTTGCCCCAGGTTAAAGCCACGGGTGCTCTGCTCCCCGTGGGGCTCAGCAGGCAGTGGGGCTGTCACCGAGCCCTGGCAYGTGAGCACGCGGGCCCACGCTCACCCCCATTTGTCCTTGCAGGCCCCGGGCACGTCTGCTCTCTCCGTGGCTGCAAGGAGAGCGCAGCAACATCAGCCGTGGAGCAGACATCCTGAGGGGAGCCCTCTCTTGGGGACGTTTCCCTCGCCATTGGGGACACATGGGACTTGCCTCGCCCCTCCGAGGTGCGGCCTCCCCTCCGTGCCTGTGCTGGCCACAGCTGTCCCTGCCGTGAGGTCGATCCCGTGTCCCCAGCCCAGTGTCTCTGCTCCCACGGGACCATTCCTGTTCACATCCCTGATATGTAGCACTGGTGGCTGCCCATTCTGCAAGTGCTTATCCTTGCTGCCTCCTGCTTTGGCACTTTTTAGCTCCTTTCCCCCATTCATTATCCCCGTTTCCAGCCCTTGTGCCCCTTAGATGAGCTCCTGCCTCCGCCAGCTCTGGGCCTACAATTTTAACAGGTTTCTCCCATTGTACCACCACAAGGTCACTATAGCGGCACAGCCTGGCCTCCCAGCTCTGYACCCTTGTTTGCCCGTGGCAGCGGCGCTGTGCCCTCCAGGACAGCTCTGTCGCCCTGCAGCACTCGAGACACGCAGGTCTCAGCTGAGTGTCAGCTTGCTCAGAGCCCTGCTAGGCCTGCTCTGGGCCTGGCCCGCGCTGGGGCTGGGTTGGGGTTCTCCAGCTGGCAGCGGCCAGTTCCCACCAGGCCGTCCTCAGGCCAGACGGTGCCTGGATTTGAATCCTGTCTTGAGACGGCCTGTGCCACGGTGCCGGGGCGACGAGCACCCGTGCAGAGAAYGGCCACCCATCCATCTACAGCAAGGAGGACTGGGACGTGCCAGGAGGCCACATCCRGCCCACCCCATGGAGGCAGTCACGTCGGAGCACTGCCTGGTGCCAGGCTGGATAGAGGGGCTGGGGTTGAGCCATGGCAGGGGGTGCTGGAGCCCTGGGCAGCCTTGTGGAGGTGCTCGTTGCGGTCCTGCCTGTCCTGGCTGCTTCCCAAAATGCCTGGGCGCATCCCTGAACCACCAGCAGGCCTCAGCTGCGGACAGGCAGCTCCTAGGGATGCCAGGGCTCTTTTATCACCTGCTAATTACATTGTGCGTGGGATTTTCCATCTGGATGGAGTTTTCCATGGCATGGGGCCCAGCGTTTGGCTTGAGCATCCTATGTGCCTACCAGAGATGCCCCAGACAGGCCTCAGGTGGCTGCAGAACTTGCAGGATGATTACTAGGATTACCTGGGAAGAGCCAGGATGATTACCAATCATCCTCGTTAGGGTGAAAGGGGATGTGCCCTGATTGCCCAGAGGGCTGGGATTCCCTGTAGAGAAGTCCAGGAATTTCTTGCATTGGCAGCACAGACATGGAGTGGTGTGGGCACCTATGGGTGCCGGGGGGGCTCTGAGTGCTCTTTGGTGCTGCGTGGGGCAGTCTTGCGGGGAGCAGMGCGCCTTGCCTCTGGCCCAAGGGAACTTTTGGCAGGGTTTTATCGCGTGGAGAAAAGGCCATTTTTTGCACCAGTTTTAAGAGGCTTCATCCCAGACAGRTGCTCCACTGGGGATGAGTTGAAATATGCCTCATTTTGATTCCTGCTGTCCAGGGGACAAGCAGCTCCGTTTGGGACACGGAGAGGACCARGGTGGGGAGGCCTGGCGGGAAGGGCCACCCAAAAGGCAGAGCAGAGGGAGGCAGGCGGGGGCTGCCTCCCACCTTAGGGCCAGGCGTCTGAGGACAGAGTGGAGGCAGCTCCTCTGGGAGCTCTGGAAACCTTGTTTGGCAGGAGGGAGCGAGGTTATTTATAGCAGGAGAACTGCAAGCCTTACATGGGCAGAGAGTGATGAGGCGGCTGGTTGCCCGTCTTTGGAGAGCTGCATCCCTGATGGGCCTCTCCCAGGTGACTCCTTCATTCGCTTGCCCAGAGGGACCGGCTGGCATGGAGGGATGCTGGGAGGAGGGACACCAGAGCAAGCAATGGGCAGAAAAGCTCCTCTTTCCTCCATGGGCAAGGAGGTGAGAGGGTCCCCAGGCCCAATAAGWGAGAGTCCCTGTGCTGTGCCGAGCACTGACCCAAGATATCTGGTGGTCATGGCCAAGGAGAGCAGCCCACTCCCAGCCATGTCACAGGCAAGGTGAGAGCAAGGTTGATATGGGTGCCAAGAGGGTAGATTTCGTCCAAGATCTTGCCAGCCCTGGGCTTGAGCGAAGCAAGATGTTCCTCCTCCAACTTGCACCAAGGGCATTTCTTGGACAGGAACCAGCAGATCTTTCAAAGTCCCTTGAAATGACTGGTTTGAGGCTGTTAGAGGGGCTCTCCATTCCCCCAGGCCTGATCATCTCCCTCTTTGCCTACAGTACGGCATTGTGCTGGATGCTGGTTCCTCCCATACAGCYATGTTCGTCTACAAGTGGCCTGCAGACAAGGAGAATGACACTGGCGTGGTCAGTGAGCACAGCATGTGCGATGTAGAAGGTAAGGATCATCCTGGCCTTTTAGGGGCTAGCATGGCCTGGCATGGGATCTTCAGTGAATGTTTTGCCTGCTAAGAATGCATTTTTACCAAGCCCTGTGAGGTGTTAAAAGAGAGTCCTGCTTTGCTCCCAACGCCAATCCCTTTTCCTCCTCCCAGGCTTGCAACGATTCATGCCTGCAGTTTGTCTTATGTCTGGTAGGCATCAAACCCAAACCCTTGATAACCCATTTGGCTCACTAGCTATCCCAGCAAAGAACAAGGGATGGATTTCAACCATCTGTTCAATTAAGCTCTCCTGGGCTATCCTCTGATGGAGCATATGGCATGAGCTGAGGAGATGTAGCTAAACTTTGGTCGTCAAGATGTTTCCTTGCCCTTGTGAACAGTCACAGAAACCCAAGCAAGGAGTGCTTGGTACCTGCCTTTCAATCTACCTGAGAGGATGCTGAACTGCCACGAGCACCCAAGGGTGCCTGAGGGCAATGCAGCTCCCTAGACATCTTCCTGCTGTGTGTATGGCTGCAGAGGAGCAATGCTGTTTCCTTCCCTGCAGGTCCAGGCATCTCCAGCTACAACACTAACCCCCTGGGTGCCGGGCAAAGCTTAGTCCACTGCCTGAACCAGGCCCTGAAAGATGTGCCCGCCGAGAAGCACGTGAGCACCCCCCTCTACCTGGGTGCCACAGCTGGCATGCGCCTGCTCAAGTGAGTGTTTGCTCCGGTGGTACCAACTCCACAGCCCCAAATACTGCCTGGGAGGTCCTGGCATGGGTTCTGTGGCACCACCCTGTGCTGCTGTCACTCATTATAGGGAGGGGGAGAGGGAGAAGGAAAACTGTCYCATGTCCCTTTACCGAAGCTCTTCTCTGCCTTCCCACTGCCCTGAAGCAGGGGGTCTGTTGCCTTTGCAGAGATGCATTGAGCCTGGTTGCTCGGGAGCTCTCCAGGGAAAGCCCAGCTGTCTGAGACGTTCAGCAGGACAAGTCAGCCCATGCCTCTGCACCCATGGCTGAAAAGCAGGCTATGAAGGACCAGCAGAGCTAGCACCGGGACAACTCACTCATTCTTGGGTGTGCCCTTTGGAAGGGACATTTCCTATGAACACCCGGGGGAGGAGGCATCTACCTGCCTGAAGTCAGGGCATTCTCTAGGTCCCATGTTGGGGTCAGGAGAACGCTATTAGGATGAGCTCTGGGAGGCCTGGGACAGCTGTGTAACTCTGCCTTCTTGCAGAGAGTTAAGTGGTTTTGTGTGGCCCGCAGCATCATAAACCGCCAGGCCTCAGATGCCGTCCTCAGCGCTGTGACAGACAAGTTGAAGTCATACCCCTTYGATTTCCGTGGGGCAAAGATACTGTCTGGGGAAGAAGAAGGGGTGTTCGGCTGGGTCACAGCAAACTACCTCCTGGAGAACTTCATCAAGGTGAGCAGGAGAACCTGGTGGCTAACTGAGGCTGACTGTGATGGTGAGGCCATCCCAGAGCTAACTGCATCCATGCCTTTGCTTCTGTTCTCCTTGCTCAGCGTGGCTGGCTTGGGGAATGGATCCAGCCCAAGAAGACGACCTTGGGGGCCATGGACCTCGGAGGTGCTTCCACACAGATCACCTTTGAAACGAAGGAAACCATTGAAAACCCCCAAAATGAGGTTATGCTGAAGCTGTATGGCCAGGTGTACAAAGTGTACACCCACAGCTTCCTCTGCTACGGAAGAGACCAGGTCCTCAGGAGGCTGCTCTCGAAGATCCTGCAGGTACTGGGATGTGCTTGCCCCAGGAAACTAGCTCTCATTGCCCTGCTGAGTGCATGCCCACCCGGCCTTTACAGTGGGTGGGGGGCCAGGCACCCCCCATCTCCTCTCAAACAGCTTATTTTGGATCTGTGATTGCCTCCTATGTTCAACTTCAGAGGCTGGGGTGGAGAGAGGATGAATGGCAGAGATTCTGGCATTTCCAGGCCTCATCTTTTCTCTGCACTTTTCTCCTAACCCTGTTCTTTCCAGGACAGTCCTGCTGGACCAGCTGCACATTTGTTTCCTAGCAAACCTTTTGGTTTTGCCCCAAGCACGGGGAGAACCTGGATCGTAACAGGGCTGATACAACCTCCGCATTGCTTCCCTGGCAGGCTGGGAACTACCAAGCAACCGTCTCCAATCCCTGCTGGCCCACTGGCTACCAGAAAAACCTGTCACTGAGCAGCATCTATGACACCCCCTGCACGGAGAAGGAGAAGCCCAGCATTCCCCTCAGCACTTCCATCACCATGGTGGGCACGAGCAACGGGAACCTCTGCGTTCTGTACGTCAACAAGCTCTTCAACTTCACTGCTTGCCCCTACTCCCGCTGCTCCTTTGATGGCATTTTCCAGCCTGACGTTTCAGGAAACTTCATCGTAAGTCCCTGCCCAGCACAGTGACTTGGCTGCTGCAGCAGGCAGAGTCTTTTGGCCCACCTGACATCACATGGTGGCCAAGTCAGGGTCCCTGGCTCTGCAAGGACTGTCACTTGTGCCCACAGAGGTTCGAGCAGATGCATGGTGATGCCTGGTCGATTTTCCTTGCCCTCTCCTACAGATGTTTCTTTTCTTCCATCAGGCCTTCTCTGCCTTCTTCTACACAGTGGACTTTATCCAGACAGTGATGGGAAGACTTGTGCACTTACCCAGTGACCTGAAGGATGCTGCAGAGGCCATCTGTGCYAGCACTTGGAGTGAGGTGGGATCCCTGGGCATGATGGGGAGGAAAAGGCTGGTTTGCTGGATCTGAGGGCCCTTTTCTGAGTGTGCAGGGGGGGCTGGGCATCCTGGCATCTTCCCTGCCTTGAGGCTGGGAGCGGATGGGTGGCAGCTCCCACAGGAGACCAGGAGAGGCTCAGGTGCGGACAGCCTGCTGCCTTGCCCAGCAGGCTGCCATCTCCCAGAGCTTCAGGCAGCAGAAACAGGGCCCTCTACTTCCTGCTGTGCTCACCCCAGCGAGGCCACATCTGCAGCACTGTGTCCAGGCCTGGGCTGCCCAGTACCCAGAGATGTGGGTCTGCCAGAGCAAGGCCACTGAAAAGCTGCTAAGATGATTAAGGGACTAGAGCACACCAAGGAAGAAAGGCTGAGTTGTACCTGCTGAGCACGGGGAAGACTCTAGGAATGTTTTAYCTGTGGGTACCAATAGGTGAAGGGAAGGTGTAAAGAGGATGGGGACAGGCTCTTTTCAATGGTGCCCAGCAATAGGATGAGAGGCAATAGCCACAAATGCAAACACAGGAAGTTCCAGCTGAACATGAAGACCTTTCTTCCTGGGAGGATAACAGAGCACTGGGACAGGGTGCCCAGAGAGATGGTGGGGTCTCCATCCTTGGAGACATTCAAAAGCTTTCTGGACCCAGTCTTGGACTATGTGCTTTAGGTGATCCTGCTTGAGCAGGGGGGTTGGATTTGATAATTTGATTTGATCTGAGGTCCCTTCCAACCTCAACCATTCTGTGATTCTGCTGGTTCGACCCCTTCTCTCTCAACCTCCATGTATCCTACCCAGCTGCTCCAGAAAGCCCCCCAAATGGAGAAGAGGCTGCCAGATTACTGCGCTATCAGCATGTTTGTTTATTTGCTTACCACCAAAGGCTACAACTTCAACAACCACTCCTTCCCAAACATTGCCTTTCAGAAGAAGGTAAGTAGAACAGGGGAACAGCCCCATCCTACAGTACCCATTTGGAACCAAGCAAATAAAATAAAATAAAATAAAATAAAATAAAATAAAATAAAATAAAATAAAATAAAATAAAATAAAATCATGGGAAAGAAGCTCCCATATCAAGAAAGGCCAAGCAATGGTTGAGGGAAGACCTTGGCAGGATGGGACTTTGTTTTTGTGTCCCATTTCTTTCTCTCTGCAATGAATTAGACTGCAGGATGGGTGGTCATGATACAAGGAATTTGAAGGTACASCATTCCCTCAAGATATACTTTGCTTGGGCTTGTTAGGAAGTTACTTGGGCGGAGGATCCCACCTTTGCCAGGTATTCGCATGTGCATGAACAAGGTCAGGACTAATACGAACAGAAAAGACACTGCATTGATCAAATGGGCCCAGCTCAAGGTGTAGACACTACCAAGGGATGGTCATTGCCTCATCCCTGGGGCCGCAGGGCAAGCAAAGCTGCAGGGTGCAGGTGACTCCCCGAACTCCCCTCGGTTGGGCTGGCACTGATCTGGTCCCCGAGGGCCCCTGAGGCGTGTGGATGTTGGCTGGCCAGGGCAGTGACCGTGCTGTGCTGTTTGTGCAGGCAGGAGAAACCTCCATCGGCTGGGCTCTGGGCTACATGCTGAACCTCACCAACATGATCCCRGCAGAGGAGCCAGCTTCCCACAAAAGCTTATTGTACAACAACTGGGTCATCCTCATCCTGCTCTTCGTGTTCACCACCCTGACGGCCTTGGTGACCGCTGTCTGCCTGCTCCGGCGCAGCAAATCCAGCGCTATCTAGCCTCAGAGACAGGACAGGCGCTGCTTGCAGGACAGAGCACCATCCCTCTTGCTGTGTCTCCACAGGTTGAATATTTGGGATGCAATCTGTGCATGAAGATATCCTCCAATGACACCTGATATCATCTGTTACAGAAGGAAAGCTGTCCCTTTTTGTCCTCCCCTTGCTTTCAAGTTGCAGAAAGGAGAGGACAGGACAGGACTGCTGACTCTGCAGAGCTGTGGGAGGAGAACATCTTAAGGTTTTCCCAGTACTACTCAGGGATAGATCCCAGAGCAGGCTTGAGACTTTGAAAATCAGATATGGACATCTCTCTGGCACCAGATGTGGGCTGGACTGGGCTAACAGAATCCACACAACAGCAGACACATCTTATTCTCATGTGGGTGGGTAGGGAACACTACATATGTTACTGCTCATAGCTGACATCACTAACCCATCCCTGGGCACCCATCAAGTCCTGTGCGTGAGCATCAAATGGACTCTTTTCCTGGTTGATACACAAAGCCCAGTGACAACGCTGAGGGCCACACWGTGGGCCTGGACTTCACGTGCCTCTGCACAGAGGCTTCAGGTCATAAATCGAGAGCCAGCAGCTTCCCAGCTTCCCTGTGCAGCAACCAGACAGTCTTCCTGATTCCAGTGTTCCCTAAATCGGTCTCCCGTTTGTCACAGCCATTCTATCACAGGGCAGAGCACAAAAAGTTGCTCCCTGCAGGAGAAAGGGTCTTCAGGTACCCTGGTTCGTGGCCCACCTATCCCAGCGACAGCAACATGCAGGGCTTTGGGTTACTTTAGCATTTAAGCCTTGTATCACCAGCCCAGCAAGCTAGCTGGGACGATGTGCCTTCATTTCCAAATGAGTAAAAGCAGGGATACCAAATGTGCAAAGGGTTGGGTTTTTTTTTTGTTTTTGTTTTTTATTAATCAGAAATAAATCTTTGTAACCGTCTCTAAGGTTTTGTGACTGTCTCAAAGCAAAAGGCAGACCCAGCCTTGCTATCTCTTAGCTTGTGAGGTCTGCTCTGACACTGCTACTCTTTGAACTTGGCCTGAYGGTCTCAATCTCTTGTTTTGTCACCTGCCACTAGAGCAGCAGGGGAAAATCTTGAATTCTTCTTAAACCCACTCCAGCCTAGATGCTCCTTCTAACCCTGATGCTCAACTCAAGCCCAGTGCTGAGACGCTCTCAAGGTTATATACGCTCTACAAGCTTTGAGAAATGCCCAAGATGGAAAAAGGGCGGTTTAAAACCCCGGTCTACTTCTATATGGAAGTGAAGTATATATGGAATATGGAATATGAAGTATTTCAGCCAAGCATGGYTGACAAGTTCATGTTTTCCATGCAGCAGAGGTGCAGTCACCCCWAACACGTGAGCCAGCAGCACCCAGGTTACAGCCTGTCCCTTGCACTCACTTTTTCATTCATGACTACAATGTCTCACACAAAGAAAAACACTTAAGAAACTACTGGTCTGCAGGGAAACCTAAATGGAGCAGAACAACCCAAAGGGCTTCAGCAACTTGTTAGCACAGTCACGAGCCTGGCAGTTCACAGAACAAACATGGGATTCATTGAGTGACAGGAAAATCGTGTGGGGCCAGTCCTAGCTTGTCAGTCCCGCCTGGAAACAGGGCCTTCCACCCCCACCGCTTTCTTCCACGTGCTCCAGAACAGTTTTAATGACCTTTATGGTTTCTGGCTTCCTTCCCTGCTCTTACAGACAGCACAAACTCCACTCCTAACATTTGCTCCCTCACTGTGCTCTATCCTTGGCTCTAACTAAGCTCCTATCCTGTTGTGCCTTCATTAGCTCACCCTTTTCTTTGCTTCCAGCCATTCCAAGGTTGCTCCATCACCTCTCTGTATAGGGGGATATGTGATTCCACTTAAATGATGCAGTTTAACCCCCTTAAACCATCTTCCTTTCCAGGCCTCTCCTTGCCCCAACATGGGAGCTCCCTCATGTGGCTACTATCAGGCAGTGCCCCTGGTTCTGACAAGCCAACACCAAAACAAAAGGCAGCATTTTTGGTCTCCCTTTGAAGCTGAACAGCTGCTTTCTGTTCTGAGAAAGTACTTCTTTCCCTTCAAACTGCAGGCTGGATTTCATTAAGAAATGCAGCTGCAGTTGGATCAGAGCTGGATATCCACCAAGAGCAGCCAGTTGGCTTTAGCTGTGGCTTGGGATTTGTTAATAGGAATAAATTGAGTAGAAGAATATTCATCTTCCCACATCTCTGGATGTTTGACATTCAGACCAGGATCGAGAGTCTGAGATTCTGCCTGGGTGACGTGTACTGAAAGTGAGGAAGCGCTCAGGATGTCTCCATTTGGGCGGATAAGAGAGGGCCTTGCTGTTATGGGCAGAGAAGACTCTGAGGGAGTGCACTCAGTGAACAGAAAGCACATGGCAACAGCTCTGCCCCCTCGCAGAATTGCCCAAACCCACCCGTGTCCAGAGGCACTTCCAACGCTGGTGCTCTCGATTAAACCTCTGGTCTGACAGCTCTAGAGGGACYGGATCTTTCCGCTCCAAGTTTATTGCAGTGGCTGCCTCAAAACAGCATTTCCCAGCCACATCCCAGCACGTACTTTCTCATCGCAAGCCTTCACTTTATCCACAGTGTGAACATTCAGCTCTGGACTTTTATTGTGTTCGCCACACATGATGGACACATAAAGGCCACCCCCATGTGAGCACCATGTGTGGCAACCTGCTCCCTACGACACCCACTGCACCCTAACTCCCGTGAGCAGGAGTACAATCCCCGCATGTCCCAAGGCAGCTGTGCTGACGGGAAGGGGTGAGGAGAGCTGCCACAAGGCACAGACATGGTGCTGCCTGCTCCGCTCGCTACTCCACAACATCCCCGTACTTGTTCCTCCTCAGCGGTGCTGCCACAGTCGCTCTGTCCTCTGGGACGGGCAGGTTTTCTGCAAAAGACAAGAAAGAGTACGTTCCTTGCACCCCCAAACTACCCTCTTGCACTGGCAGGGATGGAYAGAGAACTTCAGGGTTCTCTGGTGAAGCATTTAAAGCATTTCATGTTAACCCAGCCAGGAGAGCYCAAAGCACACAGGGTTCAGACAAGCATAGAAACAGCTGTCCGAGCATCCCCACCAGCTCTGCTCTCCACAGTGACCAGCCTAACCTGCCTCGARCATTAAAGTGGGCAGGTCACTCCATGTCCTGCCCTTCGCTTCCTCCTTCCTTCGTGCTGGTTCGTATGAACTCGCGCACACAGGGCCAGGCCAGAAAGCAGATGTGAGCATGTATCTCGCATACTGCCCTGCTCAGACACCTGCAGAGCAGGCAACGGGCCCAGGGCACTGAGAGACCTGAGAGCAGCAGGGCTGGGGATGCTCTGGCTGCCCTAACACTGTAGCTTCCCCAGAGGACCTCTCTGCTTGCARAACAGYTTGTCCCTGGATTGCAGGGTGCCARCATAGGCTTCACACAGCGATTTTCTCTGGAGACGAGAAGGCTGAGAGGGGATCTGATTAATATGTACAGGTACATGAAGGAGGAATGTAGGGAGGAAGGGGCCAAGCTCTTCTCAGTGGTGGCCAGTGACAACACAAGAGGAAATGGGTGTAAGTTGAAACACAGGCAGTTCCATCTCCATACGAGGAAGAACTTCTTGACTGTGAGGGTGGCAGAGCCCTGGCACAGGCTGCCCAGGGAGGTTGTGGAGTCTCCTTCCCTGGAGGTCTTCAAAACCCGCCTGGATGCCACCCTGTGCCCCGTGCTCTGGGTGYCCCTGCTTGAGCAGGGAGGTTGGACTAGATGATCTCAACCAATCTGTCATTCTGTGATTTTAGCAAAGACCAGGACCTGGCAGTTGGTTAAGAGCCRCAGTAGTGGGGAGTTACAGCAGGGAAGAAACAGGCAGAAGCAGCACAGGGAAAGCAGCAGGGAGAGATGTGACAGGGACCTGGGGGCTGAGGCACGCCATCGTCCGGGGCACGCTCCCGCAGGGACTTGCCAGTCTCCAGGAAAACCCAGAAGTCGGTGCATTTCTGCGTCTCAGCTCTGGTGACGATGTAGCTGGCGAGGGATCCCACACCTGGGGAGGAGGAGGAGAGGCGCCCGCCTTCCCACAGCAGAGCTCCCTGCTGCGCAGGGCCGYGGGGAGAGACGGCGGCCGCCAGCACCGGAGCCCCTGCACCCGCCCCGAGCGGCGCCGAGCCCGGGGCGCGGGAGACCACAACAGGACGGGGAAATAACCCACTGCTGAARGGGAAATAAACCCCGGGGGAAGGGGAAATAAACYCCGGGGGAAGGGGAAATAATCACCCCAAGTGAAAGGGAAATAACCTCCCGGGGGAAGGGGAAATAAACACCTCGGGGACGGGGAAATAAACCCTGCGGGTGAAGGGAGATGCCGCCGCGCGGCCACGCACCGGCCGAGAGCAGCATGCTCCAGCGCAGGGCCCCGGGCCGCCGCCCGGGCAGCAGCTTCTGCAGCGCGAAGGCGGCGCCGGCGCCTGCGGAGCGCGGCCGTGAGCGCCGGG